ACACACACACACACACACACACACACACACACACACACATAGTTTCTCCCTTTCTCTCTTTACAACACTGTTCCTTTCTGTCTAATAATGAAATGTTATGGTAACAACGTATTTTTTTTATGAATAACGAGTAATAACGATGGATTATTTTTTAAAAGTAACCTTTCCCATTTTACTACCTTGCATTTCTCTATTTCTGTCTTCTTGCTTCATTTCTATTTTCGATTCCTTATATCCATAAAATGATACATGTGATCAACTCAACACATTTGTATATCGTTATACATAAAACCATGTATATCGTTATACATAAAATTGGAATACGATTTCTTGCTTCTGATATTATTAAATAAAGATAGCAAGTTATCATAATATAACACGGTCGGCCGCGAGTTGCTTTGCGCTAGCACTTGGCTTCGCGACACTCCCGGTCGCTTGATATGTGCTAATCGGGACACTCCCGCTGTCCCGCCATCTAACAGAGAAATATAAGGTGATTTTTGGCGATCGTCTGGTATACGTACCAAAGTGTACCAAAGTATACCAGGACGTTTTCGCGTGTTTAGTAGCTTGTGGTAGAGGCGTGGCTAACCGTTTTGGTATCTCTTTGGTTCATACCACGCTATACCACGCTCGAGAGCAAGGTAGTTTTTCTGATACGTAACAAATATGCGCCAAATATAAAATAAATAGTTGTATCCAGCGAGAAATAAACCATTGGTTTTATATCGATTTGACGTAGTTTAGACTTTTCCAATGTCGAAACAATGTCAATTCGATGGTTTATTTTTCGCTGAGTATTTTATACGTTAATTTCTTTTGCACTTACACTGTTAAATCCGTAGTGTCAAATTATACTCAATTTGAGTTATTTTTAACCATTCCTATAAGTCGCCACTGCTCCTACTAAATATATTGTTAATTTAACTAATGTAATGGAGTAAAATAATTTAACTTAAGAAATGTATTAAATTTGACTAAAATTTACTTTATTTTTTATTATGTTACGTTAATGTAACCTTTGTTTTAGTAAAAAATAACTTAATATTGTTTTAAATGGGTTGATTAGATGTGGTTGTTTTTTTCAACACATGTTTTGTGTTAAAATAGTAAATTTTGACACACATGATAGTTAAAAATAACTAAATGTTATTTAACTCAAGAAATTGGTTTAAATTTAACCCTCTAATATTTAACAGTGTATAGATTAAGTAATGATCAATGGCGATTAAAATAGTGAACTATAGAATTAAAATTATACGATTAGTGTACGATTTATTTTTTTTAAAGATTTTTAAAGATTATATTATCTGATATTTTTATTTATAAATTGCATTGTTTTTTATCATCATGGACATATCTACTTGGAAAATCTACAATATTCGTGAACTTTTCTTCTATATTAACTCTTTGATCTATAGTAAGCCAATGTATTAAAATAGGTTCTAATTGTGATATAAGGTTTATCCATGTAGTAATGCAATTGGTAACAGTTGATGTTGCTGCCTCAAATTTGTTCCCGATTTGTGCCATAGATATTTCATGTGCCTAATAATATTTAGCTATTTGTTGTATTTTTTGTACTGCTATTGGTTGTATCCTCCAATATATATCCAAAATTATAT